AAAAAAAAAAAAAAAAAAAAAAAAAAAAAAAAAAAAAAAAAAAAAAAAAAAAAAAAAAAAAAAAAAAAAAAAAAAAAAAAAAAAAAAAAAAAAAAAAAAAAAAAAAAAAAAAAAAAAAAAAAAAAAAAAAAAAAAAAAAAAAAAAAAAAAAAAAAAAAAAAAAAAAAAAAAAAAAAAAAAAAAAAAAAAAAAAAAAAAAAAAAAAAAAAAAAAAAAAAAAAAAAAAAAAAAAAAAAAAAAAAAAAAAAAAAAAAAAAAAAAAAAAAAAAAAGAAAAAAAAAAGGGAAAAAAAAAAAAAAAAAAAAAAAGAGAAAAAAAAAAAAAAAAAAAAAAAAAAAAAAAAAAAAAAAAAAAAAAAAAAAAAAAAAAAAAAAAAAGAAAAAAAAAAAAAAAAAAAAAAAAAGGGAAGGGGAAAAAAAAAAAAAGAGGAAAAAAGAAAAGAAAGAAAAAAAAGAAAAAAGGGGGGGGGGGGGGAGGGGGGGGGGGGAAAAAGAAAAAAAAAAAAAAAAAAAAAAAAAAAAAAAAAAAAAAAAAAAAAAAAAAAAAAAAAAAAAAAAAAAGAGAAAAAAAAAAAAAAAGGGGGAAAAAAAAAAAAAAAAAAAAAAAAAAAAAAAAAAAAAAAAAAAAAAAAAAAAAAAAAAAAACAAAAAAAAAAAACAAAAAAAAAAAAAAAAAAAAAAAAAAAAAAAAAAAAAAAAAAAAAAAAAAAAAAAAAAAAAAAAAAAAAAAAAAGAGAAAAAAAAAAAAAAAAAAAAAAAAAAAAAAAAAAAAAAAAAAAAAAAAAAAAAAAAAAAAAAAAAAAAAAAAAAAAAAAAAAAAAAGGAAAAAAAAAAAAAAAAAAAAAAAAAAAAAAAAAAAAAAAAAAAAAAAAAAAAAAAAAAAAAAAAAAAAAAAAAAAAAAAAAAAAAAAAAAAAAAAAAAAAAAAAAAAAAAAAAAAAAAAAAAAAAAAAAAAAAAAAAAAAAAAAACAGGGGGAAAAAAGCAAAAGAGGAAAAAGGAAAAAAAAAAAAAGGGAAAAAAAAGGGGGGAAGGGGGGGGGGGGGGGGGAAAAAAAAACCAAAAAAAAAAAAAAAAAAAAAAAAAAAAAAAAAAAAAAAAAAAAAAAAAAAAAAAAAAAAAAAAAAGGAAAAAAAAAAAAAAAGAAAAAAAAAAAAAAAAAAAAAAAAAAAAAGGGGAAAAAAAAAAAAAAAAGAAGGGGGAAGGGAAAAAAAGGGAGGGAAAAAAACGCAAAGGGGGAAAAAAAAAAAAAAAAAAAAAAAGGAAACCCAAACACAAAAAGAAAAACCCCGCGCCCCGGCCCCCCCCCCCACAAGGAAAAGCCCCCACCCCCCCCCCCCGGGGGGGGGGCAAACACCAGCGGCGGGGTTTTTTGTGGGGGGGAAAGGTCCAATTTTGGGGGGTGGGGGGATAAAAAAAAAAATTATACGGGAAGGGGGAAAAAAAGGGGGGGGGGGGGGGGGGGGGAGGGGGGGGGGGGGGGTAAAAGAAAAAAAAAAAGGAAAGAGCCCAATTTAGAATTAAAATTTTACCCTCTGTAGGTGTTTCTTTTTTATTGTTCCACATTAGGGTTGCCTGGAAGAAATCGCTTGTTAGCGATAAGGCCGCCCGTTGCCTTATAACTTATGTAACCTGCTTTTTAAAATTTTATACATTATATAAGGTAATAAAGTATAAATAAATAAATTGTCTATGATTAAAAACGAAATGCATTTTCGAGGATTCCTACAAAAATTAATACGTTTAGGTACAATTATTTTTGAGAGCTATGCTTACTTTGGCTGACAAGAGGATGGTGGGAGGATGGGTGATACATTGCAGTAAATCTGCTTATGTAATACTTGAACGTCCTCTGATAGCTTTATGAAAAAAGTTTCGTGTATGGGTACTGTACGGTTCGTGTATGGGTACGGTCATCGGGGTGCTCTTAATAATAGAGGCCTTTAGTTTTACTCTATATTAACCACTCGCGTGCAACAATAGAATATAAGTGAAATAATTAAATGTAAATTGCTATGTAACGAATGAATGCAATGTAACAGTTGAAGAGAGTGCCTACATATGGCTATACTCTCGGGGCGTAACTCCGATCATTTAGGAAATCGGCAAGCTTATAAAACTAAAAAACCTGAGCAAAATTTACTTTGGCTCCTACAGGTACTAACTAGAGTCTAGATTATCTTTTGATTAGTGATATATTTGTATTAATTCTTTGAAAAATGTTGATTTAATTAGAAAGTCGAACAAAAAAGAAAGGGTAGTATTTAAACGCAAATCAAAAAAAAATACTTTTGTATGCTATAATAATCCGAATTCCCATCAAAATTACTGATTGCACAGCAAAATACTCAACTCAAAATATTACTAAATAAACTAAAATTTATGTTCGCGGCGTACGGCTATTTATCTTAAAGCAAAGCTTTTTTACCAATGCACAGCTAATAATACTAATGCACATTATACCTATTAACTCTTTTTTCTTTAAATATAGCTTCTATTTGTATATTACTTACAGCAGTTTTTCTAAATAAAACAGCATTTTATTGGTCATAATCACCTAATTATTTAAATTGTACGACATAATGAGATCAGCAAAAAAATATAAAATTAGATGCAAATAGTAACCTTTTTTAACAATAATCTATCGATTATTTCAAAATTTTTGAACTATACTAACCTAACCTAACCGAACTAGATAATAATTGGTTTTTTGGACAGCTCCGGCGCTACGGGAAATGCAGCCCCTCCACCCTTGCGTACCAACATACAGGCATTTTATTCAAGCCTCAAGCCAACTTCGGCTTTTTGGTCGACCAGCCTTAGCCGCTGCGGCTTGCATAATGCCTGTACTTTGTTACAGCGGGTGGGGGCTGCTCTTCCTCCGCGCCTACGGTTTTAAAATAACACTCTAGGGGTAAAACTGACTATAAATATTAAAAAAAAACATCGATTTTTTATGCTAAAAAAACAATCGATTAATAGAAAAACGATTTTTTAAAGAGAATGTCACATCTCTAGTAACCAATAGAAAAGTAGAAAATGTAGGGTTTGTTTACGAATTTCAATACATCACACAACATTTTAAATCTTTTTTTTAATACGCAACTCCGGCAGCACATGTAGGTGTTCTAATCAAGGTCCCACGAGTCACCTACATAATCAGTATCATCAAATTCGGGCGACGTAATTCTAAATCCAATCCTTAAATGAATATAAATAAACAAATGAGAACCCCAAACAAATGTATGTGGACTGCGTAAAACAGCACCTACACTGACGAAATATTTATATGCGGTTAACTCCCGACAAATGCAATGAAAAAAAAAATATTATTCAATTTGCCGAGCATGTCTTCTTGAAAATTACGATAAATATGATGAGCAAGTTTTGTGGTGCTCATTAATATATAAGCTACTTGGATAGTTATTTTGCTATAACGACCGGGGGCCTACCATGAACTCTTATTGCGAGCCTATTGACAACCTACAACTGAGATGCATCGCTGTATTATCTACATGCGCTTTGGTTAATTTGCTGTGCAGTCAGTATTTATGGTAAGCATGTAGTATTTTTGTACCTAAATAAATTTATTTGTATCGCATTGTAAGGAAAAAAGTAATGTCATTCTGATGTATATTTTAGAATTATCTGCAGTACTTGTTTTGATAAACATTTAGTTTATTTGTAGTGAAGTAATTTAATTGATGTAAAAAAGCATATAAATGATGAATATATATTGATATGCGACTATTTATTTGATGTGCAATTAATAATTTCCCAAAAAGAAATAATAAAGAATGCTTAGAATTGTTTTATTATCTAAAAGCACTACTTGACCCTGTGGCATATACTATGTAGATTCTCATAGCTACGATTAGCTTTTAATATATAAAAGGTGTGTTAAATACTGTGAAACATTTGCACAATAAATTTGTCACTATTCGATATTTATAGACAATTGTATTAATTCAAATAAATAAAATTGTTAAATCCTAGACTTAAGTTTAAAGATTGCAATTTGACTGATTTGATTACTATTACAATTAACTTATTCCGTAATTTTTTAAAACATCATCTATAAAACTGCACGTTTTAATGACATTAGTTATTCATAATATGCTAGGCATTAAAATATTAAAAGGATTTAAATAATTTTGAAATCGATAACTAGTTTTTTCAAAATTGTTTTTTGTAATGATCCTTGATATTTTTGTTTAACAGTTTTTCTTATAAGAAGTCGCATTATGTTTTAGAAAATAATTAAAAGATATAACCAATATTTTGATTTCCTTTATTAAGTGCTTAATAAAACAGATGCAAAAATTTGTCTATGCAATAGTACTGCTATCCATATTTTTACGTCATATAACATTTCATACCTCTGACCTCTACATTACTCACACAGGTAGGTACATATTACAACCAGGAATAAATTTGTTTATTAACAGACTTAATTCTAAAAACAATTTAACAATAAAAACAATAACTAACCTTAAAATATAAAAACTAAAATATATTATTAAAAAGGGACTCCTGTAGGCAAGGTTCCGAAGATACTGGCAGCGTTCCCCCTTTGAATAGCTAGACTAATTCTTTGTCCGAGGTAGCTGCCAGCTCTTCGGTCTCCTGTGATATCGACTAACCTTTTTGCTATTTTCTTAAAAAGCCTTATAGCGCTAGGACCCCACGGACCAAGGGTCTTGACACCGAATGGGACATAATCACATTCGGAGCCTAGACCCCTGTATTGGCAGGCTTTCGCTTTTTTAGCCGCATCACAAGCCGCACCATATATTATTACATATATTATGTGCTCTCCAGAAACAGTTACCAACATTAACCGAATTTTTATAACCGCTAAATAGATAGTTGCTCATAATTTATCCAATTTTAAACTATATCGCATACGGAATATCGTTACGATACGATCGTATCGTGATTACATATATCGTAAACGGAATGATTTTTAGTTAGTTAAAAATAATATATATAATTTTTTTCAGGTGAATATAACGTGGAATGAAAATAATACGGTGACATTCAGAAACCAACGGTACTGGTATTACCATCCTGAAATGTCAAATGGAAGCCTCTCAGACGTGGTGACCAGCATCAATCCTATTATTGTGGTATGTATTTTAGTTGAACGGTAAGCAGTTTTGGCCTCAGAGTTAGGAGTAACTCTGAGGTGCCGTGCTTCGAATCACTGTGGATCACTGAATTTTACATTCCGGTGTCTGGTGAAAAACGTTGTGAGGAAACCGGCCTTAGATCTAAATGCCGTGAGTCAGGCAAGAACTAAGAAGATGAATTATTACGAAATAGACTCAGAAATAAAAAGCCATAGAGTTGATAGTAATTTTTATTTATAGCGCTGGGAACCCTGACACAGGTATTTTTACATAAAAGGGTTCCCAAATCTTACACATTATAATACATTGTTGTCAAATGAATAAACACATTTTTATTTCATTTTTTTTATTTGTTCCCATAACAGCGATTCTAATAATACAGATAGTGACATCACTAAATTTTGCTTTCCAAAAGAAATGAGAGAAGTGCTACCATAATGACGCCCTGATCTGATTATCATTGTACAATAATAAGTTTAATATTGGAGTAAACGGGGATTTTAATTGTTTTTAAAGTTCTCCGCACAAACAATTTGTATGAGTCAAAACTTAACGATTAACTTAACTTAAACAATTAAAAAGAATAGCGGAAAGTTTCTTGCCAGCTCTACGCACTTGGCTTGCGAACGGGAAGTAAATATAAACTTACAATTAATTTAACTTTTTTTTTTGACGTTCATAAGTGTACTTGTTTACCTATATGAATAAAGATATTTCCAGTTTGAGTGTGAGTTTGCATCTGCGTTAAGTTAGTTGTAGTAGTAGTAGTAAGAACCATTGTTTTTTATGACCGAAAATTTAAAAAGATATTCATCTTTGCCTCTCTATTAGGAGAGACAGGAGAACAACGTCAGTCTTCTAAAGTGTGTCTTATCCGTCCTCTCCAAATAACCTTTAAAAATATTATAATGATTATTAGGCTAAACTATTGGTATTCGTTTATTCTATGTTACTTTAATAATACATATTGTTACAGACAATAGCCTACGCGCTACGCAACGAGCGTGTCATGTTACGTGTATTCGTCGACATGATTATGCGCATTTCTCACAGGGATATATTTTTGAAAGCGAATGTCTCGTCATGGCTGTTTGACGGAATCGAGGATCCATTGCTCAATTTAGCTAATAGAATACCCAATATACCGTACGATATTCCATTCGATAAATTCGGCTGGTTGTATACTGTGAGTATTTTGTCTTTCTATTTTTATTGTTTTTATATACGTGCGTATATAGTCCCTCTTTCTTATTTTAGTAAACAACATCAACAAGAATGCTTGTCTTAAATCTTAATTACATTCAACTTAACTGGTATATTTTAATCATATTTATTGAACCCGAATATCCCATCTAGTTTCAAATGAGTGTTAGTTTAAATTTGTGATGTTTCCTTCCTTCCTCTATGTTTTAATATAATCAATGTGTATTTGTGTAAAATTTGTGAACACATATTTTTTTGTATGCATGTATGCATGTTGCTTTAGAACGTCTTATAAATAAATAACTTTTATATAAATGTAGTACACGCAAAGACAACGTAAAAAAACAATTACTATGTTCACTCACTTTTTGAAAATTACTCACTTGTTAAAACGATTGGAATCACAAAAGCGTTTAGTTAATTGTATTCCGATTAGTTTTAAGGAAATAGTTATACCATTGAAAAGTTATTAGTTGGTTATAAAATTAAGTATAACATACAATTTAAAAAGATGCTTATTAGCCATAACTATAGATATAATAGAAACCATAAAATATAGATGAATTTTACAGCGAAACGGTTCAATAGATTATGACGGTGAGTTCGTGGCGAATACTGGTGAAAAGGACTTTTTCCAACTTGGCATGGTCGAGAGATGGCAGCACACGAATAGAACAATCTACCGGGATAAGTGTGGGGAGTTGAAGGGATCCTCGGGAGAGCTATGGGCACCTCAAAGAGGCCTGGATGAACTAAGTATATTTGCACCAGATCTGTGCACGTGAGTGATTATTTTAAACTCAAAATAACTTTATTCATATAGGTTCACAAGTACACAAAAGATGTTTAATTCATTTTAAATTTACATTTACTACCAGTACGCAAGCGCGTAGAGCGGGCAAGAAACACTCTGCCACTCTTTATGATCGCCAAGTTTTGAGTCATACAAATTGAACTGGAGCAAACATTGATATACAAAAACCCAAGATGCACAATCAACGTCTAAAAAACGTCCTCAAAAAATGAGCGCAACATTCTAAATTGTGCGCTCATTTCAAATAGTCTCGTCTATAAGTGGAGTCGATGTTATTTATTTGTGTTTTTTTTATAAATAAATTTTTGTACTCTTGAACTTTTTTGTGTGTAGTTTTTGACAAATATATTTACGCTATATAAAGTGTGGGTCAGGAGGTAGCCAATTTAACATTTTTTTTTTAATTTAAAGAAAAAACTTTTTAACCGGATTAATGTTATGTATTATTATAAATTTACAACTATTTAACATCCAACACCTTTTTCTTCAGTCACCGTGACCACTCACGCTGTTAAGCACCCGAAAAGTCGGATAAATTTAAAATTATGTTAAATAGTTGTAAATAAAAAGTCATGTTCGACTCCACTCAATACTTGTCCTACCGACCACGGTCGGTCGTAAAATTTTATTGCTTTAAGTACGTATACACTGCGTTGTAATAACAACTTTAAGCAATTCGCGTAAGGTTGATTTTGCAATAATATATGCTTGTAACATATACTGTTATGGACAGAAATAGTGTTTCGGGACACTTTCGAGCGTTACTTTTATTCGAGACTGTGCATCTTGGGTTTTTTGTATATCAATGGGAGCAAATCAATCCCAAGGATTAGGAACATTAAAATATTCGTCAAATTTATAAAAAGCTTTATTGATTATATAATGTAGTTTATTTACTTAAGTTAACTTCCGGTACATAAAAAAATCGTTTTAATATCATAACGAGGGAAAAATGCAAGCGTGTGTAACTTCTCATTCTTTACATTCAAGCCCTTTCGTAGACGTAGCATTTATTACCGTAGCACCATTCGTAGCCAGTAGTCAATATCATAATAAAATAAAGTGAAAATGTGTTTATTTTTTATAAATAATTAATTATAATGTGTAAGATATAGGATCCCTTTTAAGTAAAAATACCTGTGTCAGGGTTTCCAGCTCTTCCACAACAAACTTAATATGTAGTAAATTCCATAACAACAACACGAGTTAGAGCACGAGTGAGTGTGTGCGTGCATGTGAGTGAGTGAGTGCGTGTAATATGTAACTCCTACAGGCGCATCTCATTAAATCAAAATATTTTTTCAGCCACATGACACTTATAGCTGATCGACCAGTTAGATTTATGGGTCTTGATGGCATGCAGTATATTGCAAATGATTCACTCTTCGATAATGGACATAAATATCCAGATATGGTAAGTAACGAAAAAAAACAGTCTTGGCTTCTGATTTCTTTATCCCTAGACCATATTTCTTTATAGATATGTGATCAGCCGTCTGTGCCTGGTACACGCCGTTCAATTGGGATATTAGGTGATCACACCTAATAGGAAAATCCGTACGTTTCCTTACGATGTTCACTTAAGAGCAAGTAATAATTGCATATATTGTGCGAGCGGGGGTTCAAACGCACGCCCTTATCTTATACTATAGCAGATTTACTTTATTGGAAATTTAAAAAAAACATGTGTGTACTTCTAACGCGTGTACTTACGTACTTATATTTCTTTGGCGTAACAAGATAAAAATCTTTTAAATTTTTTATCTTTCGCCTTATTCTACGTTTGTAGAAAAAACGACACTAACAATAGAAAAATGTATTTAATACATTGAAAGTTTTATATTCTATATTATATATATCACAAACAATTATTTCAACATAATAAAAGGAATGGTCATTTTTTATTTTAAAATGTTGACTATGCTAACTTCAGAGTGTCGGTTTTTTGTGACGATGTGCGCGCGCATCGTAAAAATTTACTCTCATCATTTCGCGCATTTATAACTTCAAAAATATAAATATTGTTCAAATTTCTTTACTGCCTAATAATAAATAAATTATGATTATTTAACCCAAAGGCATGCTACTGTGATGAGCCTCGTGATAGCAACTGCCTCCCAGCTGGGGCTCTCAATGTATCTGCTTGTAAATTTGGAGCTCCAGCATTCGTGACCCGACCACACTTTCTCGACATGGATCCTTACTACCCCAGCAAGATAAAAGGACTTGCTCCTAACAAGTTAGTTATTTTACATAGTAATTAATAAAGTAATTAAACTGATTTTTCACTACCCATACTTAACTTCTACACGAAAAATCTACAGTGAAACAAAACTTATGAATATAAAACAATTATTTCAATACATTACCAGCTTATTAATCTACAGAATTCTAAATAACGCAGCGCAGTTTACGACGCCATCACGATCTAATTCTACCTAAGTTTAGAATCAATTACGGTAAAAAAACATTGAGCGTTGGGGGAGTGCTGCGGTATAATAGACTTCCACAAAATATAAAAAGTGCAGACATCCTGGCAATATTTAAATTAAGACTGAAAGATCATCTCTTGAGTGATCCCATATCTACGTAAATGAAATCCACCCAACTACTTCGCAAAGCTTGAAGCTCTTCAATGACCCACGACGTGATAAATTGTATCTTTAGTATACAAGTTTTCATGTAGTTTGAATCCATTGGCGTACCCGTGATTGGATTCATCTTGTAAAGATTCATTTTGTAAAACGTTACGATACGGGGCGGGGATGGAATTACGCGTTATTGTTAATATTATTTTCGACTTTCCAGTACTTTACACCACATAATGGTAAATTTTAGGTTTAACGAGTCAGTAGGTCACGAAACGTTTTGCTTGGGTAGGTACAGAAAATCGTCACGGCGCGTTACATGGGGGGGGGTATGCGTAACGCATTTCCCCACGAAAAAAAAAAAAAAAAGGGGGGGGGTCAATAATCTCTGAGAGGCTGATACACTACATTGACAGACCGTTCTAACGCATATGCATTTAAAACTCATTTAGGAAATCAAATCCATAATTAGCTAAACACTATAAAGTCAATATAAAATAAAATAAACTTTTATTTTGATTTCGATAAAGATACGACAATAATTCGTCACAAAGACGAATTTGGACTTCGTTTTAAACAAAAATTTATCAAGATAAAAGGGTCGGACAAGGTTATTCAAATTTTCGGATAATATAGAATCAATTTTAAAGGATTTAATTTTATTTAAACATTGTTTTAAATGCAATATTACAACATGCCCCGCAGTTTCGTTAACCGCACCTAACCCGTTTTTGTTCGATTGTAGTTTGATCCTGTCCAATCAAATACAATTTTTTAAAGCAATCCCTAATAGCGTTTTGCCAAATATAATTCGTATTATAGAACAATCTAGGCTATATGTTTCCATAACTACCATATCTATATCAACATTGTTATCTTTTATAAGTAATATCATGAGAATTTAGATAATATATTGTCAATAATCTGATACAAAAATGACGCGCCATTCTCCTCGTTCTGGAAACATGATGTTATATATGATTCATTCATTACATATTTTTATGAGTTCCTTAATCTTTATAGCATATATATTTGACCTTGTTGAATCATAACTAGCACTTTTACTTGTTTGTTTAAAAATTTAACGTAATTTTATCACAGAATAACTAACACTAATTATATGTAAATTTACATTTACATTTTCTTCACTTAATATTTATAATATTTTTTAATTATTATAGACTCAAAATTAATTTTTAGCCAACGTAATGGACCAAATAATGATGAGGTTTCACTAGTTTATTTTATAATTATCTTACCCTTTTTTCAGGAATCATAACTTCAAAATGTCTATAGAGATGAATACAGGTATGCCACTCGCTATATCTGCACAGCTGCAGGCAAATGCCTTAGTTAGACATATCCCCGGCATGAGGTAAGATTATTAATTTACTAATTTGTTTTACTATTAATCATAAATGTCTTTTAACATATAATTAAAATATTTATGTTTATTAAAAGTATTTATATAAGTCAAGACTTGACGTCATATTTCAAACGTCAACGCCGTCTCATAAGTCATATGTCAAATCCAAAGCGATTTTGACATATAAAAGTCATACATATATGAAGACTGGGAATAAGACTATTGGAGCTAATGACTCATATATGTCAATAGTTAGCTCTTCCTCTACATCTTACCCATAGATACAAAGATGTATTATATGGCTGGCTACGAGTTAAAGCAGTGTTGGCCTCACTAGGCCGTGGCAGTAGGCAGTGGCTTCAGGGTGTGCCTGTCAACCCTGAGGTCGTAAGTTCGAATTACAGCTGTGCACTAATGGAGTTTTCTTTCTGGCACATTTACCACTCGCTCGTACGGTGTCAGACACCGAAGGCTGTTTTCCTTGCCTATTAAGAAAAGTAATCACAAAACAGTTACATAAATCTGAGGCCACGGTCTAGAGGTTGTAGCTACTGTGAAACTATTCAGACATAGACCGAAAAGCCACAAAGGTTTAATAGCGCCATTAGATCATTTTAAACACAGAACTCGTACCATTCGACATAACAATAATTGCTTGTAAAATTTCATTTCACAAGAGTTCACATGATATGAATATTGAAAGTGACATTGTTATTGTTAACATAAATTTATTTATCATAAAATAGTAATTAATAGTCTTCGTCAAAGAGAATCGTTACGACAAAGAGTGCCGATCTGATAATACCTATGTTTTTTTTAACCAGAATTGTTTATAAATAATCATTGTAAAAATTCGTCGTTATTGATATATAACGGTCACATCTTTATGATATTGCGTACAATGAACGAGGCATATTAATTATCAGGCAAAAAATACCTACACAATTGCTTTGATATATAAAGTGTAAAACAAAAGAGGAAGCGGTTCGTTTCCGTGTGATTGGTCGATTGGATCAAGTCACGTATTAAATAGCATCCACTATGATGTATGGTATACTGCGCAGAGGCGATGAGAACTTTGAGAAACTGTTATTAGCACAGAAGACAAAAGATCACGTGGCCGTTCACCAAAGAGATGGACCAATCAAGTGAAAGACTCATCGTCCTGAAAACTATAGATACAATGTAATAATGAGGCTGGACAGAAACCGGTGGATAGATAGTCGACGATTAGACATGAGCTACCGACTAAAGAGAGAGAGATTGGTCTGTTGCAATTAGATAGTTAACAAAAGTTGTTAAACCATATCATAACAAATTTACACTTGAAAAGCTATTAGAAAGTTAACTTACTTTTCTATTCCGTAGGACTTTAATTATTTTTCAAATAATTTAAAATTGTGAAATTTTACCCGTTTATTGCTATAAGAATATCTGACATTATTTACTTTACCTTTATTAACATATTATCAAAACCGTAGATAAGATTTCAAGAGTCTACTTTATACAATACCTTTTCGTTTGATCAAAGAGCTAAGTCTGCTTCTTTATAAAGACGTTTAACTTTTCGATGAAGACCCAATTCAAGCGAAGTTATACAAAATCAATTAACATAACGCGAACCACGTTTTAAACCCGCGCCAATCAAACGGGCAACCGTCGATATCGTAAAGATGTGGAAGTTATCTTTATATTTCTCGCGTTATGTTAGGTTCGTCAATGGATAATTTTATATCTACCTTACCAAACCTATTAAAATACCAAGTACTAGTAGTAGTACCATGCCCTCTGATGATAGAGGACAAATCTTTGTTTTTCATTTATTTTATTATGATTAATTAACTATTGATTACTTAAAAAGTAATGTGTAAAATTGTTGCAGCTCCTTACAAACATTGTGTAAAACAAAAAATTTGGCGATTAAAAAGTGTGGCGGAGAGTTTATTACCAGTTCTTCTCTTCCGTTCTACGCCCTTGATTTGAGAACTGGCAGTAAATATAAAATTAGAAGCATTTATTATATATTTCTTTTTTGAGTAATTGGTCATGACACATTTATCCATGCTATTTCACTAGTAATTTTTCTACGATTCTTAGATATGTTTTGTTTACAACGTTTATCATTTTAACCAAAAATGGTTATCGCTACCAAATATCCCAGATAAGAATTGAAATGCGGAACTAGATATGACTTAGCCGAAAACTGAGTCAGATACTATTTATCTTAAACTAACAAACGTATAAAGCAGTAATTAATCTCATGATTAAAACATTTTTATTGTAATAAAAATATACCTTGCGCGTTAAAACATCGATAAAAGTATTGGATTCTATAAATAAATGTTTTTTAAATATTGGACGTAACCATTAAACGGTTAACAGTACACAACAACGCAGATAAACTCATAAAAAATGGTAGGAAGGGCTTTTGGTCAAAATTACAATAAAATGTACCTACATTTATTGTCACTTTTACTTACATTTTAAACTATACCTATTCCGAATCTAGCGCGGCAATAAATGTAGGCGACATAGACATTCTACCTTTATATACCTACGCTGAATAGACCCGCAGCGTAAGAAAATTGATATTCAATTGTTCAGTATATTTCTTTACTTTTTAGTTTAAACAACCAGCTTCCCGATCCCGACGTCTTGGTACCAATGTTTTGGTTCCGTGAGGAAATTGTGGTTAATGAGAAATACGCTAACTTCGCTCGGACTGCATTAAGCATCAAATACGTAACGCCTTACGGGTTTTATACACTCATTGTAAGTATTTAAACTATCTACTATTATCACATAGTCAACACGTTAGAAAAATAATCAAGTGTCATTAATGGAGACGGATTTGTAAACAAATAGGTGTAGGCATGCTGCAATGATGTCATACCCTGAACCCTTTCGGCCACTAAGGATATATAAATCTTCTCGACTACTGAGTCCTGAGGGCTGTGGTTAGACTGGTTGCTTCCTTAAGGTTGGAGGATCAGTACATATACACAGTACAGTTTCATCATCAGACGACGAGGCAGAATACGAAATTCTACCCGTATAACCTCGACGTCCGCCGTTCCACAACTGTGCGTTTAAAAGGCAGTCTCTGCCGCGCATCACCACTATGTACATCCAGCTGCCCACTGAAGTATTTACAAACTAATTCGACTTTGGGTCCTTTAAGCGCGTACCAATTCTTAAAAGACCGGCAACGCGCACTCGCGAGCCCTCTGGCATTGTCTATCAGCGGTATCATTTAACATCAGATGAGCCTCCGACCCATTTAGACATAGACATAACATTTATTTCTAACAAAACACACACACAGAAATAGACAAACAAACAATAAAAAAAAATCCTTTTAAAGAACAAGGTACGTTTTAAGTGTGTAATGCGTATATGCTGTGGTTGTAATTGGCCCTGGCTCACCATTATGCTGAGGTGCAGACTGTTCCACAGCGCTGGACATTCTGCCAGAGACCACAGTAGCTAATTTGCGCCCAGTCGCAAAAACAGAAAAAGTATGTAATAATACAAAAAAATACTATATTTTCGTTTTTTTTGTTTGGTAATGTTCTTTATAACTGCGACGAAAATTGATTTATTTGATTTGCCGCCTATTCTATAAAAAACCATCCTTTCTAATGTGGAGAAGAAGTTAATTCTTTATTATTTTCAGTTAATCGGCTGTGCAGTGTTGGCAGTGACAATTTGGCAATACAGAAAACACCAAAATATAATAAAGAAGCAACATATTTCACATGAAGATACAATATTGACACAATCTTTTCTAAAGAAAGGAGAATCTAGTTAGCATTTATTAGAGACATTTTGTGCGAACAATGGTGGAGTGTTTTTTTATGAATTTAATGGTGAAACAAAGGATCTTGGCTAGTATCGTGTACACGTGTGGCATAATTAAACCAAGCGATATTTAAATATATTAGGACATAGATTTTTTAGGGTGATAATGTAAAACAAACGACACTACGACAAATGAGTCAAACGGACCTCAACGCTCGGTATCTCAAATACTGTTGACCAATCACAATCGAACGAAGAGCATAAGAGCGATTCGTTTCAATTCAATTCAAAAATCAAAAATCATTTATTCACGTAGGTAACACAATGTACACTTGTGATTCGTCATTAAAGAAATAAATATTAATGCTTCTAATTTTACATTTACTGCCAGTTCTCAAATCAAGGGCGTAGAACGGAAGAGAAGAACTGGCAATAAACTCTCTGCCACTCTTTTTAATCGCCATGTTTTTTTTTTTTTTACACAACGTTTGTAAGGAGCTGCAACCATTACACCATGTTCCACATGACATTTTAAGTAATTAATAATAATAACATAAATAAAAACAAAGACTTGTCCCCTATCAGCAGGAGGCATGGTGAAATAGGAGCACGCACTTACATTCTCGTGGGAACAACACGCAAACACATAGTCGAAATAATTAACATCACCGCATACACGAATTCAAGTACGACCAGTCACCACAAGTAGCACCCGTTCACGAGTATGACGCATGGCCAGCCATCGGCCCCCTCGCCATATTTTAGGGAGAGAGACAACCCGACGCATGGACGCCGCCACAAGCAATGACATTTAAGCGAGCATGACGATCCTTGAAATGTGGACTTGGAAAATAATAATAATACTGAAATAATTGGATACCACATCGATCACGGTTTGTTCCCACTTTACATTAAAAAATTTTTTTTAGTTTATATGTTCGTATACCGTCACTGTAGAATAACCTCGCATGTCAAAAAACCATTTATTTTTGTGGAACGTCACGGAGATGTGCAACGTTTTTGTCGAAGAAAAGGGAGAGAGCGATTGAGACCGATTGAGAGAGATTGATTGATTGGGTTACCTTATTTAAATAGAATTTATATTTTTAAAATTAAAATTTCGTAACGAGAATTACTGAAAATATTTAAAATTCGTATTTTATATTAATAGAAATATATAGTATTTTATATTTTATGCAAAATAATTTATTGAAATCTCAAAATTGTAAATTAAAATGCCACGTGTTTTTACTATCGAAGAAATAAATTAAATTTATAATTTGTATAAATTTTCGACACTTAATATTTTAATGACAATTAAATTCCTAACATATCTTCCTTTTTCCCTCCCTCTAAGTCTCGGAAATCTAAAGCTATAGTCTAAATAAGAACAATAGTTAAAAATTAATCTACCAAAGAAGTTTCACTTCTGACATGTGTACTTTGTACGCATGCACTTTTTTTATTCTTAGACATTTATGTCATTTAACTGGTATAATCATGAATTAAGGACTTATTTATGTTTTTAACAAATAAGTCGTTTTTACCATCTAAAACTATGGACAAAACCACGTAATAATATTTTAACGAACATTGACAAAAAAACATTATTTTCGTTTCCTGTAATTTTTGGTTCTCTGGACATACGAGGTTATCATTCTACAGCGACGATACGTACTTGCGCTTTTCGATTCACACTAAGACATTGTTATGTGGCAATTTTATGTTTCAGAATCCTTAGCTAATATAATCGTAACAACAAACTTTAATCATTCGAATGGTGTACGTTTTATATTTGTTTAAACTTAATGTGTGAAAAATTTATTCGTCCGTTATTAGTAAAATTGGCATTGTATTTATATATACCTACTTGGCAAATGTATCCATATAGGTGAAATAAATACATCATAATGTTTGTGCTAAGTCTAGTTACTAACCGGCAATACGCTTTTCCTCCAGTGATGGCCAAATTGCTGTAGGTGATTCAGCAATACGTTAAATTAGTAAATACCTAATCCTCATGACAATATTCATATAAACTTACTTAAATGATAAGTAAAAACGGCATTTGTATGAAAGTGAATTTCATACGACTTAAGTCTAAATTCTTAATACGAGTCAAACGTTCCTTATAGAGCCGTTCTTTAAATAAACTACGACACGTTTTAAGCATATTGAAACCGAGCCTTAGTCTTTTTGAGATTAAAAGCCCGACGGGGCTGATGCATTTTATGATTGTCAAAAAAAAAAAGGTTTTAAAGCTTTATTATCGCAAATGATTGACCAAGTGCGTAGTAAGGACAGGTCTGTAAAAAAATTAAGAAACTGTATCAAGATATAGGATAAGTTTTTACATGAAAATAGCCCTCGAATAGATATTGTTAGTTAAGTTTTTAATTAGAAATATCAAATAAGTCATGGAGCTTTTAATTAGCAATATTAATGTTATTAAAACCAGTTATAATATCATGTCTCACAAAACATTTCAATTTGAATATTATCAGCAATTTCTAAGTGGTATTATGACAAATAATGTTCTTTACATGTCAAGAAATTATTATTAAGTCGAAAAAATATATATAGTTTTAGTATTGACATTGCAATTTTTTTAAATAAAACAATCATTGAAACTTTAACAATTTTATTATTACCTTAATAAAACAAACTGATTAATATATATAAATTTCCAATGATTTTCAAACTTAAGGAAAAACTAATAACTACCAGTTCTACAATTATACAAATTTGTATGCACTTATAAAGACAGCATAAAAACAATTGTGTTACCATAAATAGGAATAATGAGCAAGTCTTAAAATTTTGATGAATCTGTGGTATTCTTTTGACAATACATGACATTGATTGGTTTAACTATGATCATTTATGTGTTATAGGCTATTTGACAGAACCGTATCTTGCGTTTTGGCGGTACTTTAGCTGTGAATATGTATAATTTGAATTTTAAGATTAAAAAAAAATATTTGTATAAGTTCTATATTTCTATCAGTTATATATTCTTACATAAACTGAAATAGCTTTTAAAGTCTTCTGAAGTTGCTTATTAATAAATATAAACGATCATGTCAGATTTTTAGTAAATATGTATATCCAATACGCAATATTTTAAGACTTTCTCAGTATTATTGCTGTCTCATAAAAAATGTTACTTTAGTAAATAACAAGCGAATAGGTGATGATTTAATACTTAACCTGTAAAATTGCTCTGAAAGGCTTGGTACTAAAGAAAACTACTAGCCTAAATACATTGTAACTACATGGTAGCCACCTTCGGTTAAAATAACCAAGTAAAAAAGAACAGTCTCAAAATAAAGTACAATTTATTTTTCTTTATATCGTCCATCGATTTAACGACATACTTTTACATTTAAAGCGTCGAAATCACTCGGCTTTGGTTGGTTAAGCTTATCGTCCATACAATGATATACTCTACGTAGCATTACACCTACCCTCAATAACGACAATTAAATAATATAAAGTACTTTATAAGTTGCCGAAATAAGTTAAAACTGCGCAACTGTGTACATGCTTTTGTCGCTTTATTGTCCTAGCCCGTATTAAGCTCCGTAATAAGCTCGACTGTCAGCATCAGACTTCCCAAACTTCAAGAAATCCGTTCCTGGGAAGAAATCAAACTGGGATTGATTGCACTTAGATGCCTCAATATCGCAACACATGAATAAAACAAGTAAAAAAACAACAGACTATACGCAATAGCGTTCAAATAAGAATTGTTTTTTATGTAATTATGTACTAACTAGTCTAGTCTGTAACTAACTAGTCTGAGATAAACTTTTTCTTTTTCTAATACAGATTTTTTTTCTATTTAAATGACAACTATAGACGTGAAGCAATGTATTGAAACTGTCTGAATAAAAAAAAACACTTAATACATACTTGTCAGCGAAAAATAGAAAAGCTAAGTTTTGATTAGTTTATTTATAAAAATATATTAACACATTTTCACTATGAACGATATAATAACAAATGCTAAAACTACAAGGCACATGGAATGATTGACTCATTTAACAATAGTGGTAACTTAATGTTTATTAGAATAACTACAGAGCTGTGACCACTATACTCTGATTTTTCATTCCGTAGAATTCTGACATTTCATAAGTGTTGCTACTAAAAAAAAACACTGAAAAAGGGACAAATTTGGCTAATTTGTGGGCAATAAAAAAAAGCAAGGTATTTTTTTTATGTTTTACCTAAAAAAAAGGTAAATTTAAATATTCAAGTGACCTAAAACTAAAATAACAAATATTTCAATATCACCAACAATATATCGAATTAACTTTAATTACTTTATTTTATTCTTTAGCTGGCATGACTACCAATTCCAGGTTTAGTAAACCTTTTTAAAAAATAAAATGTTATTTTTATTTGTGCGTTTTTTACTGTTTGTGATGAAAAGGGATATAATAATGTGGAGCACCGCACTTAATAAAATGGATACATTAACTAACAAATAAAATGTATGTATGTATAGACTTAGATGTTCAGACTCGAATTGAAATTGAAAAATGTGCCCGGCCAAAAAGATTTGCCATCACTAATATGTCAAAAAATGATAGCTGTCAGAATTCTACGGAATTAAAAATCAGAGTATAGACTGAAATAAACTTTTTCTTGTACAGACATTTCTTCTTTCTATTTAATTACAACTCTTTGTAACGTCAAAATATGCACAGTACCTTGAGTCTCTATAGAAAGATGACGTGAAGCAATGTACTGAAACCGTCAGAATTAAAAAAAAAAACAATGCATACTTGTCAGTGAAAAATAGAAAAGCATAGTTTTGATTAGTTTATTTATAAAATATACTAACACATTTTTACTATGAACGATATAATAACAAATGCTAGACTACAAGGCACATGGAATGATTGACTTACTTAACAATAGTGGTAACTTTATTTTTTGGTTTTTAATTAGATTGTATGAATGTGCATCGTTTAATTTAAAATATAACTATGTAAGCAGAACATGAATATTTTATTCTGTTAAATAATTATATAAATTTAATTATAAAAAACTGGGAATAACACATTTGATCGCTATTTTCTTCACCAAGAGATTTATTACTAAACATAATACATTAACTAGGACGCCGCAGAGCTCGCAATTCTGCTTCGCTTCAGCACAAATTTGAGCGGAGCGAGTGTTCAACTCAATTTTTAATGATGAGTAAAAATACATAGATTCAAAATATTTAATTTAAAGATTTGATTTTGTTGAAAGGACTTTCGTCAGTTGCTAAGTTTTCCACCGATTTGAAACTTCGAGAAAAGCCGTCAAAAATTTTATTGTCTTGCTCACCTTAAGTGTAAATGACTTTTAAATTGGCAAAATCTGATTCGAAACATTTTTTTCCCATAGACATTAGTTTTTCCGCTTATTTTGTGATTTATTCGTAAATATTATTGAGTTTTTATAGCCTATACGGGAATACGGGATTTTATAGCACGGGAAATTGTTCCATCTTTAATTTTAAAAAAGAATTTTCAAAATCGGTTAAGCCGTTCATAAGCCTTAGTGTTTGTACAGAGTGTCATAAGAGTGGGCGCATGGACGCAACATCTCGCTATCTCTCTATGAAAAACTTGAATTAAATATTGTCTCTATCGTTCACTAAGGTAAAGACAAAGATAGCAGCTTTGGTCAAGAGAAAAAGAGAAATCATTCTTTAAACCAAGAATCGAATCCAGGGCTAAATTATTCACCTTACTATGTAATTAAATTATATAATAGTATATAGAAAAATATCTCTTAATTTAATAGGTAAACTCTTAAGAAAAAAATACATAAAAAAACTTCTGCGCAACTCACTTGGAAACTATAAAATACAAATAAATTCACGTAACTTATAAAAAATATTATTGAACATACTTATTAAAAATATCCATACATTGGTAATATCACAAATGAGCTGCATATCCATTTATCATTTTTGATTCGGTTACGTATTACCGGTTTTAAATAATTACCGATAATACGGGATTATAATGTGACAGTGAATGAAACTAAAGTAAAGTTGCCTTCTAACGGGCCTTAATAACTCTTAGATACTCTTAAGCGTAAGTCACGTCACAAATTTAATGGATTTGACATACGTGTGTGTCATAAAAGACCTACTTGTCAATGTTAGTACGGCAATTATTGTCAAAGTGACAAGGCAACATATTATGCCAAATATAGTAAATAATGTTTAGGTTATAATCGAAGTAAAAAAAAATCAGTAGCGCTACAACCTTTTTAGGTCTGCGCCTCAGATTTTTGTAACTGTTACCAATCATTTGTCAATCTAACAGGCAAGTAGGTGATCAGCCTCCTGTGCCTGACACACGCCGTCGACTTTTTGAGTCTAAGGCAAGCCGGTTTCCTCACGATGTTTCCACCGTTCCAGCGAATGTTAAATGCGCACATAGGAAGTCCATTGGTGCACAGCCGAGGATCGAACATACGACCTTAGGGATGAGAGACGCACGAAGAAGCCACTAGGCCAACACTGCTCTTTTGTTATCGAAGTCCCGAGTCAAAATCGTGTCTTAAGCACGTCACACTTAATTTTGATTCATGTCAAAAATACGGTCCTTTTTTTTTCAAAAAATACTTTTCAATCAAACATAAGTTCATTTTTGATATTTCAGCCACTTACATATATTATTATATTTTTTACACTTAGTTGCAGTCAGCGTCACACATTCTATCACCACTATTTTTACCGGTAAATTTACCGGTATCGTGTGACAGATGACTACCGCTCCGTCACCGATACGTCTTCCTGTGACGCTCCGGAAAGTATGGGCGTCGATTCGGGCGATCTAAGTAACTTTTGAAGTATTATCCAAATGCCTACAGATAATAAAATCACACCAATACCCTGAAAAAAAATATCTAATTAAAATTAACGTTAAATTTATAATTAATATAATAAACTAAATGTGTACGTTCTATAATCGTATAAATATATGAAGATTTAAGAAGTTGGTGGAAAAGATTGGGAGGAAAATACTCAAGATAGAGAGAGATGGAGCCAATTTGAGGAGGTCCTTGAAACAAATTAAATAATTATTTTGGTATACAATTTTAAGTGTGAGTATATTTTGTAAAGATGGCTAAATGTTTCAAGGAATTAATGAGACTTAATTATTATTATTAAGATTAAAATCTTATTTAACATAAGAGTTAGTATCAATAACCAAAAACATTTCTTTAGAACCACTTAATTGAAGTGAAACTTCTTTATCGAGGTTGGAAAAAAAATTTAGTGTAACATTTTTTCAATACGCGTCACATTTTTCGGTTACGCGCCATGTTGCTTTTTGAAGTCAAACTTTTTTATCGGCGTTGGAAAGAAACTTCTTTATCGACGTATGGGAGAAATTTTGTAGCAAATCGTCACGTTTTTCAATGATAGTAATAATTCTATTACAATTAATGAAATTCTATAATAATCTTCGTAGTAATAAGGTAAAATGAAATATTTGTCTTCATGTGTATGATAATAAAAGCCTTTTGTTAAACTTTATCTAATTTAACGAATTTCTGTAAAGTTGCATATAGTAGATCATTTTTCGAAAAATAAGATCATAAAGAAGTTTCACTTCTTACGTGTGTACACCTAGTACACGCACAATTTATTTTTATTTGTACGGAGTCCTACCTAGTCTCCCATATCCCATGGGCACTCTGACGATAATTATTTAAAAAATATGATATCTTGCATATAGATGTGTTTTAGTGGGTTGTTAGATAAACGTTTAACTTGAATCTTAATGTTTAAAATACATCATTAAAAATATCAATTTCTATATTATTAAAAATTATCAGATATATGTAATCAATCTTGGGTTGGTTAGTAAGTAAATATGTACTAATTGTAAAATATAATATATTCTGTGCGTGTACAATTAAACTCCTAAACGGCTGGACCGATTTTGATGAAATTTTAGTGTGTTCAAGTGGATGAATGGATTAGATTTAAAGTTAGAGTAGATTTTTAAATTAGAGTCGGGTTCGTATGTTCGGTGTGTCATAAAATAACAGATAACTTTGTTTAGTAAAAACGGTTGGTATTTTAAATATAGCTTTAAGGTACACTTACCGTAAGTGCATAAAAGCCAACGGGCATATAATATCTCAGGTTCAACGCGAAACGGGCGAGGCTCGCGTACTCTTCGTTCATCCTGACTTCTTGGCGGAACCAGAACATTGGCATAAGAGTGTCTGCGTCTGGCAGTTGATTGTTTATACTGGAAATAAAATATTCCTAAATATAGTTGAGAAACATTTTTTTATGAAATCAAGAGTTTCGATTTCGAAAAGATTAACAAAACGCACTAGCTGAACTTTTCCTAGGGTTTTATGAACAAACATACATACACTTATCGACTGGATTGGGCACCCTTAATATCTATTTTATAAACCATCCAATTCTAACAAGGCAATTTTTCAAAGGAAATAAAAAGTCTAGAAACTCGGTTTGATATAGTTACTTTTTATGCACAATAATATGGAACTAACAATAAATTAAAAAAAGAAAAAACATTGTGACCTTATCCAGGCTTAGGGCTACTAAGCGTAGACAACCATAATACAAGAAAACCAGAAAGAATTGTGTGTTGCACTCTGGAAGAGTACGAAACCTAATTTATAACACAACCTTACGAAAAAAAACCAAATGTATAGAAAAAAACATGATATACAATCATTAAATATACAATAAAAATGCTTAGAATGTTGATCAAGCAAAATATATCAAATATAACATATACTAACCATATCTTGGTTACTTAAACATAATAAAGTAACTAGTTAATATTAATTTCTTATATAATTAACTACCACCAAAAGAAGACCCCAAAAGGATATAAAAGTATTACGAGAAATGAAAAATATATACTCTTTGTAACAGTAATAATACTTTCTATTGTTAATTACAAACTATAATTTTTTTCACCTTTTGTAATAATAATGATAATAAAATTAATTACATAAATCAAAATCAAAATCAAAATACGTTTATTCAATTTAGATGCTTCTTAGAGCATGCTTATGAATGTCAACAACGTTTACAAAATTCACGAAAGAGCAAGACTACGCCATCCGTTCGCAAAACTACCAGGAGGCCTTGTTCTGAGAAGAACGGGCAAGAAACTCAGCAAGTTTTGCCCTCCCTCTACATTACAATTATTCAAAGGAAAATGTCATAAACCACAACGTCATTAAGGTTACATAAGTAAAAAAAAATAAAAAATCTGTTCTGTGATTTACCACATTCACCACACAAATATTCATAACACTTCAAAGATAACAAATCAAATTATAAGAATATAATTACAACTATTGCCAAGCGTTTTTATCTTCCAGGTAGTCATTGACTGTGTAGTAACCTTTACACATTAAGGTTTTTTTGATGTGTGTTTTGAATCTGTTTAAAGGCAGTTCCAATATTTCACTAGGAATCATGTTATAGCAGCGTATACTTAGGCCCATAAATGAAGTATTTATTTTCTGCAACCTGTAAGACGGCTGGAAAAGTTTTCCCTTATTTCTTATTTCTTATCTCTTATACTTTAATAACAATAGAATAGTGAACACTCACGTGATTCCTCCTATATGTCTGACGAGTAGATTTATCTGCAATTGAGCTGATACAGTCAACGGCATACCAGTGTACATTTCCAGGGCCAGACGGAAGTTCATGTCTCTGGAATTAGTTTATTTTATTTAATAACACTTTATGATGTTTATGTCCTGGATTCGATTAGTCGACCATTCATTTTTCACCTAAATCCGATTGGTGAAGAAACAAAGAAAAAACATGAAAGACAAGTGGAAGATATATTTGGTCGTCCGTTTTTTTTACATCTTATTGTTAAACAAACGGTTAAATATTTCAATCGACCTAACAGTCAGTCATAATATAGCCCGAATATGAGCAGTTGTATATATTATATAGAAATTGTAACTTTTATATAGACAAGGTTGATGTCCTTTTTGGCTTTATTTTTAAATTAAAAATATTTATCGTTCCGTGAAGTGGTAAACTTCCAATACTTACGTGAATACTTCCAATTACTAATTTAACATTTTTATTTTTGTTTCTACTATATGTAACTGTTTGTTTCCTTATTAGTAAAAATATTTTGTTTATGTAAAATAAGAAACGCTTAAATAAATAAACGTACACTCTTACGTACTAACGGACACACTTACGTACACAATCACGTACACACACATATAATCAAATGTTCTTACTCTGTGGGGTTAAGTCCACTAATCTTGCTTGGGTAATACGAGTCCATACGGAGGAAGTGAGGCCGGCTGACAAAAGCTGGTGCTCCAAACCGACACGAAGACACATTTAGAGCTCCCGGTGGAAGGCAGTTCTCATCTCGGACTTCGTCACAGTAGCATGCCTGGAAATTGTTTCATACATTATAAAATCTAACGGTAACGGAGTATAGTGGAGTATTTCGCGTCCGTATGTCCGTTTTATTCACATATACAATGTACAGTACGTGTAAGGTTAGGAATGTCAAAAAAAAATGTTTTCTCAAATGTATAACATTTAATAATTATAATACATGCGATAGAGATGGAACTTTAAAAAAGGCCTATTCCCAGAAATAGGTATTACACGGTGATTCACAAAAATATTTAAAATTCCTAACAAAATAAGAATGATATGTGTAAAGTACGAATATAATACGAATATTTGATGTGATATAATAAATAATTGAAACTGTGAAACTAAATGGTTTAATAATTCATCCATACACGTATTCACTCACCATTCTCGGATACCTGTATCCGTTGTCAAAGACCGAGTCATTCGCGACGTACATCATTCCCTCGATACCCAAAACCGAAACTGTCTCATTCTTCGCGAGATTCAAATATCTGAAAATGACAAGAAAATAGATGAAATCGTATAAATACGAGTCAATAGGCATTTGTTTATGAATCTCCTATTGGTAAATGCGGCTAGTCCTAATTCCAGGTAATGTGACATTTTATTTAGATATTATGTCAAAGCAACATTCTGCAGTATTGTAACATAAATCAAAGTATATACAGTAAAGCTAGCTGTCCCTTCGAGAGAGAGATGCGCAGAGGTGGTCAATCGCCTTCCCCGGTGAAAGCAGTATTTACTCTAATCTGACTATGCTTGCCGCGAAAGCTTGCCGCGAAAGCTTGCCGAGAAAGCTTGCCGCGAAAGCTTGCCGAGAAAGCTTGTCTTGCCTTGCTTTAGCTAATGTTTTGGTTTGTCCGGATCCGTTAAGAGGCGTCGGGGCCTTCTGCGGGACTTTTTTTATCTGTAAGATATTTTCCGGGAAGTCTATAGCATCGTTTTGCTATCGCGAAAGCACAACGCCATCTATTGTTTAATAAATAAATTAAATGACAGCCGCCATTGAACTTTAGAAAATTCTTTAATTGGTTTAAGTTTTCAATAACAGCTGGACAGTGTTTGCCTAGTGGCTTCAGCGTGCGACTCTCATCCCTGAGGTCGCAGATTCGATCCCCGGCTGTGCACCAATAGACTTATTATGTGCGAATTTAATATTCGGTCGAACGGTGAAGGTGAACATCGTGAGGAAACCGACATGTCTTAGACCCAAAAAGTCGACGGCGTGTGTCAGGCACTGGAGGCTGATCAACTACTTCCTTTTAGATTAAAAAATTATCATGAAACAAAAGGGCCCAGCCAATTTGTTATCTATTGAAAACTATACGAGTTAATTTGTTATCTATTGTGGAACGGGATGAGTGGCACTTTACAATTTGATCTAGGCCATTTTAAATGCAAGATAAGAGTTTAAAGTACCAATTCAACCACGATCTGGAACACTACCACGATTTTGACAAAGTATTAAATATGTGTATTCTGAATTTCGTATTTTGTTACCGTATTTTACTGAGAACAGACGAAAAGAAATGGCAATAAACCCTGTCACTATTTTAAACCACCAAGTTAATAAACTAAATATTTTAATTTCGTAAATTTATTAACCTTTTTGTATATATATATATCATGTAATCCATCTTTGGCTACATCTTTAGTATAATTGTTTTTGTAGGTATAGAGCTTATATGTAACAAAATATAGTTATATATATATATATATATATATATTACGAAATAAATAAAGAACCACACCGTGCTCCTCATCACATTATAATAATAATAACCCTTTTTATTTCCTGTTTTACAATAGTTGGTTGGTTATATTACAGTTTCCAAAAATATTGATTTTTGTTAGTAGGTTAGCTTGGATGTTAGTAATATATATATATATTATTTATGAATTAACAGTAACAGTAGTGGTTTGAGTAAAGGCCTCCTCCAAAAATGCCCATTTTTGTCGGTCTTGTGCCATGGAGTGCCAGTTTATACCCGCTGATCTTTTCAGATCATCTTCCCAACGGTCTAAGGGTCTTTCCGCCTCTTGTCTGGTAGTCCTTTTGAATGGGTAGCTCGTTTGGTCCACTTTTTGCTAGACATTCTCGGTACATGGCCAGCCCAATGCCATTTCAGTTTTTGAGCAAAAGTTGAAGCGTTTGTAACTTTAGTGACGGCTCTTATCTTTGTGTGTCTTAGATTTTTTGTCCATTTTCTTTATGCATGCTTCGCTCTAAACCTCTTATTTATTTTTTTCACATCACATTAAACCAATTATAATAATAAAGAAATATAAAAAGCAAAAGTTTAACCTCTATCAGCAATAAAATAAAATAAAAATAAAATATGTTTATTATGGAACATAAGATACAGGTATCACTTATTCCACGTCATTAAATTTGAATTTGTAGGCATCCCTACTCATCGGCAAAAAAGACAGAGGGTGTAGGCCGAGAGAAAAAGCCGGCGTAAAAAACTCTCGGCAATATGCATGGACATACAACACGCAAAAGTACCAATACGAATAAAAGGTCAAAGAAAATATTCTTACGTGCATATATCAGGAGCGAATATCGTAACTTCAGGTTGTCCTATCTCAGGAGCCCATAGTTCTCCCGTTGAGCCCCGGACTTCGCCACATTCGTCTCTATACATCGTCGTGTTCGAGTACTTCCACTTTTCAATATTTCCCAATTTACTGAAATCAGCCGCACCCGTGTTCATTAACATTATACCGTCGTACTCCCGGGAACCATTTCTCTGGAAAAAAATAATACAAACTACAGTCAAAACCGGTTATAACGACATTGAAGGGACCGTATAGTTGCCGACGTTATATCCGATAGTCGTTATAAGCAATGTCGTATACACAAGTACAGTACATATGTATGTACATAGTTATCGATCTAGAATAGGTAGGTATGGGTTATAATATGGTATGTTAATATTATAATATGTAAACGAGTCAAAAAAGAAACAAAAATACTTATTACGAAATAATTAGGTACAAAAGTAATCAGTCAGTCTGTTTTTTTTAGCCCAGTCTCAAATATTTTTTACATTTTACGTTTCATACTCCTCAAGGTATGAATGAGTATCACCAGTATCAAACTGTTCGTTAAAGGCAACAAATTTTTGCAAAATCGTTACAGCGTTAAGAGCCTCGGAAATCGTTGTTGGCTGAAACTGTTCGTTGGGAGAAAGTGCGTAGGTAATAATATGCCTAAATATTCATTCAATGCTTATAAATAAAATTTAAAATCGTTTGTATTGTTTTGTTTTACTGAGACAAGAAGCGGTTGGTCGTTATATCCGATGAATATCGATAAACTTTCGTCGTTGTAAGCGATATGTCGCTGTATCCGATGTTGTTATAAGCGGTTTCTTTACTGAATAGTTTACTAGGGATTCGGACGGGACCATACAATCTGGTTGTAATAACCGATAGGTCGTTGTAAACGATGTCGTTATAAACGGTTTTGACTGTATTTACTTAACTCAGTCATGTTTCGTACACCTTCAGATTATAACACAAATAACCAGATATATTAAATGTAACTAAAAAATGTTTAAAAATTAAAAGCTTTCATTAATAAGAAAAAAAAAAAAAAAAAAAAAAAAAAAAAAAAAAAAAAAGAAGGGAGGGGGAGGAGAGGAAAAAAAAAAAAAAAAAAAAAAAAAAAAAAAAAAAAAAAAAAAGAAAAAAAAAAAAAAAAAAAAAAAAAAAAAAAAAAAAAAAAAAAAAAAAAAAAAAAAAAAAAAAAAAAAAAAAAGGGAGAGAAAAAAAGAAAAGGAAAAAAAAAAAAAAAAAAAAAAAAAAAAAAAAAAAAAAAAAAAAAAAAAAAAAAAAAAAAAAAAAAAAAAAAAAAAAAAAAAAAAAAAAAAAGGAAGAAAGAAGAAAGAAAAAAAAAAAAAAAGAAAAAAGAAAAAAAAAAAAAAAAAAGAGGGGGGGAAAGGCCACCACCCACCGCACCCCCCCCCCCCCGCCGGGGGGGGGGGGGGGGGGGGAGCGCGAGGGGCGGGGGGGGGAGGGGGGGAGAAGGGGGGGGGGGGGGGGGGGGGGGGGGGGGGGGGGGGGGGGGGGGGGGGGGGGGCGCCCGGCGGGGGCGGGGGGGGCCCCCAAAAAAAAAAAAAAAAAAAAAAAAAACACCCCCCCCCCCCCCCCCCCCCCCCCCCCCCCCCCCCCCCCCCCCCCCCCCCCCCCCCCACACAAAAAAAAGGGGGGGGGGGGTGTGGAGTGTTTGTTGTGTTGTGTTGTTTGTTTTTGGGGGGTTTTTTATTTTTGGGGGGGGAAAGGGATGGGGGGTTAAAATTGGGGGCTTTTTTTGGGGGGGGGGGGGGGGGGTGTGTGGTGTATATAAATGGGGGGGGGGGGGGGGGGGGGGGAAAAAAAAAAAAAAAAAAAAAAAAACCCCCCCCCCCCCCCAAAAAAAAAAAAAAAAAAAAAAAAAAAGGGGGGGGGGGGGGGGCAAAGAAAAAAAAAAAAAAAAGAAGGGGGAAAAAGGGGAGGGGGGGAAAAAAAAAAAAAAAAAAAAGGGGACCCCCCTTTAAAAGAATGGAAGGAAGGGAAATTTTTATTTTTAAAATACTTTTTATTGATTTGGGTTGGATTTAAAAAAAATTTATTTTTTTTTTTTTAGGCTAAATGGAATTTTTAATTTTTTCGTAGACACAATTTATAAAAAATTATTGGCGAGCAGTGGTGGCCTGACTTCAGCGTTCAGGTTCGATCTCCGGTGTCCATCGATCTTTCATTTAACACTCGCTCGTACGGTGAAAGAAGACATCGTGAGGAAACCGACATGCCTTAGACCCAAAAAGTCGACAGCGTGTCAGGCATAGAAGGATCACCTACTTGCCTTTTAAAATCTACATGAAATATAATAAATAAAAATTAAATATGTTTATTATGGAATATAAGATACAGGTATCACTTATTCCACGTCATTAAATTTGAATCGGTAGAAATCCCTACTCATCGGCAAAGAAGACAGAGGGTGTAGGCCGAGAAAAAAAGCCGGCGTAAAAGCTCTCGGTACTCTTTTAAAATATCAAATCATCATACAAAATGACTATGGCAAACATAGATAGAAGAAACCAGAAGGAGGGAGGTACGGTCCGCTCTTTATTTGCATTAAATTACAAAACTGAACGGAAACCACGCGATCCAGTTCTGTTCTCAAGCATGACGTGTGAGCCAGCCATCGTTTTACTCCTCCATATTTGATATATCAAAACTACTAAATAGATTTTGATTAAACTTAGACTGTTTCTTTATATACTTGACAAATCATATTGATATAAAAATCCAAGAAATACAAGAATAATACAATTCACCTGAAAATCCTGTTGAAGTCAATTAAAGAGAATCAAACATCATGATTTAAAACAAAAATCAATAAAATATTAATGATTATTTCGTGTCGGCGTTGTGCGTGTGACGGCGAACAGTTTCGCAGAATTACATCACCGTTACGTCGCTTACTTTCGCTTATTGTATAACCACGTAATAACGGACTATTGATTTTTCATTTAGTATTAAGGCAGGAACTAATTTGCTTCTAAATTTTTTACAATAACTGTATTATCGTGATATGTTTAAGGGTACAAATCCAAATACAAAAATCACGGTTGATTTTAACAGTTTTAAAAACCATAACTAGTGGATGATTACTTCTTATTGTGGCTAAAAACAGTTGTCCAATTTAGTCCAGCAACTTAGAATCTAATAACACCTTATTTTATTTTAAGGAAATCCATTTACAGACCCAGCTCTAGGGAAACTTTTTAGGCGAATCGGGAAGCGTTCTACCCTACGGGAGGTGCAATGGACCCTACTAGGCTCGCTGGTCGGGTACATATACGTAATATGCACTGATTAAAATCATTAAATTCATTTAAATCGTATTTTGACGTAGTTCCGTAACTCGCTATAAAAGGTAAGCTTTCCCAGAGTCAACTCTTACAACATCTCTTCTGGTTTCTTCTATCTATGGCAAACATAGATAGAAGAAACCAGAAGGAGGGAGATAGACCAAATTTCATTAGTCTGGTTTAGTGAGTACTTTTAATATAATATTTATTGAAGTGAAACTTCTTTAGGCGCATGAGGGTAAATTTTTTTAAGGATGAAACGTAATAATAATAATACTAGCGTTACGAAGATGTGTAGCGTTTTTGTCGAAGGGAGAGAGCGATTGAGACCGATTGAGAGTGAAAAAGGGCGAATGTAGCATGAAGCAAATAGTCATGGAGGGAGCAAGCATTAGTGAGAAAGAACGAGAGAGAGAGAGAGTGAGATAGGGCGAACATCGCATCACGCACAGTGCCATGGAGCGAGAGGTGGGAGAGAGCTTTAGTGAGAATGATTGAGAGAGAGAGAGAGTAAGGGAGATCGAGAAAAAATTCATGCTACTGGTTGATGTATTCGTTTAGTAGTTACATATTAGACCTTAGAGGACAATTCTGTCGCATAACGTCTTGTGCAGTAAACGCAGATTTTTTTAATATTATCATTATCACGTATACAGAGTGTTTACAGTGTAAATAAAGATATACAAATACATAGAGTTATCATATACTAGTACATGATCATCTATTGGGGCTTTTACCTTAGTAATAATTAATTTACAAAGAAGTTTCACTTCTGACATGTGTACTTTGTACGCACGCACTTTTTTTTTATTAAAGCACACCGGCATCATATATAATGCATTTTCAGCATAAGTTACAATCTATCAATAGATAAATAAAATATTACCCTTTTTTATTTAAAAATACTTATTCGCTTTACAATGCGGATTAGCTACCAGATATGAGCTTAACACCGCTTTTAATAATAGTAGGAAAGTCCATTGACGTTTAGATATGGGTCAGATACCATCTTTGAAACCCATTTCGAAATTAGTAAACCAGTTCGTTCTCATTTGTAGCTATCAATATTATTGACCTTTATATTTTATTATTTATAATCTAACCTATAAGATGTCAAAAGTGCATGATGGTACATAAAAAATATATGTTTTGTTCCCCCCATACAAAACGCCAATTTCATATGTAAGGAACTAATACAATTTGAAATTAACATTGGATTCGATTTTCATTAACTACCATAGTAGGCGCATACAGTTAATCTTATCAATACGTTATGTATAAATAATGCAACAGTACATTGCACCGCGGGTTAAGTGATTTTTTAATCACTGGTTTTGTTTGTTATAAAGATAGTTTCATGTATACTTATATTATGATGAGGAAACATTTGTAATATGTATTTGCTTTCTTATAACGCTACATCATAACTAATGCGACATATTGGATTTTCTGTAATTGATTTATTTTCAAAATATTAAAAAAAAATGTCCAGCCGATACAGATAGTTGTAACAATATATTTTGCATTCTTTATATATATTTATATCAAGCGATTATTAGGTCATAGAATTGGTTTTCTTACAGAGTATGATTATATTATTAAGGGATTTATTGTGTACTAGCTGCCCCCGCCAACTTTGTCTCGCCTTAATATGTGTGAAACTCTAGCGGTTTTGACCGCGCACGCCAGACTAACTCGCAGGTAGTAGATTTTTCTACTTACATGATATTTTGGACCATTCACACAATATCTTTATAAATTGTAGCCTATGTGCTTTTCTTATGTATAAGCCAGATTATTGTTATTTTCATTAATATTCTTTCAGTAGTTTTTACGTGAAAGAGTAACAAACATCCATCCATACTTACAAACATTCGCGTTTATAATATTAGTAGGATAGATTAAAGTTTCTAGGTTCAGAGGCCATGACATTTTGTGTCGCCTGAGTAGCAAACTAAAAAATAAAAAACTTAAAAAAAGGTGTAATTATATGATATGATATAATTACACCTTTTGTTTTACATTTTTTAATTACAACATTATTATTCAAAATTCGTAACTGATAGAATTTAAACCACTCGTACCACTTAGGTTCTATTCCATAATATTAAAGACTATTTTTTTATTTCGAATTCTCATGTATCTGCCCTTTGCTAGGTGACTTTGGACACTGGTGAGATTAGTCATAGATAATTCATATATTAACACGTCTTATATGTCACCGAATATGATTCACACACATTTGTAACACTGAATCAAGGGGTCAAAGTCCCTATTTTATTTAATTAAACATATATTTCGTGACAACAAGAATTAATTCACCAAGGTTATATAAACTTGGGAGGAAACAGTTTTAATTGTCTTCTATTCAACGACTAACTTTAAGGATCTAATAAAACTTAACCTTACAATCGATAGCAGTTTCTTTAGAAATTGTAAAGAAAAGTGTTTATAAACAAACACAGAGATGCACAGCTAACACTTGCCCTTTCTTTGCCCTTCATATTTTAGGGATACATTTAAAGATAGACATGTTATTGTTTTTTTGTAGACAAGCTCTACAACTTTTCTCTAGAATTTAATCAAATCTCTCATCGTTAAAGCAGCGATCGTAAGAAAAGTTTTTGTTCGATCGTATTTTCTCCGACTTACTGTGCAAATCGGACTTGAAAAACCATTTTTAAGTTTCGGATTAGTATACAGCCTATACCACTTACAAATAACATGACTTTTCAGATCCACAGATCAACACACCTCTGTAGTCTACAAGGTCTACTACCTCTGTATAATATTAGTATAAACTAAACTTTTACAGTTAATAGTTATCATTCTAATCAGAGGGAACCCAAATAACTCTACAGAACACTCTTTATACTCCGAGTTAACTTTCTTATTATTATTATGACATTATGATAATTAATATGACATTTGCATGCTTATTCTTATATGGCTGATTGTGGGGTTTTTTATAATTAATCAATCAATTATTATTATTATTATAGGACACTTTGTAAAATACTCAGAGACGCAACGCTCTGCGTAGAGAGAGAACGAATCAATTATGTTGAAAGTAAATTAGTTTTTTAACAATCCAGCTGAATATTGCAATTTCCAACGTCGATGATGGAAATTTATAGGTTTTTCCAATAAATGGCTTTAATGTGGGATTATTTTAAGACTATATCAATATCGAATCGTTATTATCCGTTTTCTCGTCTCTCGGATATAATTTACATTTATATCCGAAAATTATTTCTATCGCACTACCAAAAAAAAATAAATTTAAGTAAATCTTTTGTTTATACATTTTGTCTTTGTATATCATTGTCTTGTCCGTTGTCAGATTTAGCATTTGAACCGCATAGTGTTGCTTTGACACGCAAAACTCGTCCCACTTTAATTAGCATCTTTAAACAATGTCCCAACGAAATACAATATAAATTTAAAAGAACAGGGCAGAAGGGGCGTCTGAACTACGCGTTACGTTATATTGTTTTAAATAACATTAACGCGATTAAAACAATGACAAAGGGACTTTCGTGTAATTTACCATATTTTGCCACATATATTTATTTAGGTAAAAGACTAGGACTAGGATAAAAATGGTCATTTCGTGGGCGTTTTACTGGGTTTTATTAGGAGGAAGTTGTACCGGCCCGGGTTTTTCTTTGTGTTTCTTTATTTTGCTTTGTGATTCTAAGTGGTAGGTATTTTAATACCTGTGGTAAATTGTGTATATCAAAAAATTACAACCCCACAAATCGTGTATTAAGAAATTTTCTTTTATTGTGAAGTAGTTGGGAAAATCTAAACATGTTTATACCATATTTTGTCCTTAACAGTTTTTCTCAAATGCACCGGTCAATGACCTTTAATGCAATACAACTCAAGGACATCGTAATCTCATGCGCAAGATAGCCAAAAAATTCCAAACTAGTATTAAAAGTTGTTCACCTTTTAGGACCCTTTTTTAAACAGACTGATTAAAACTTGTTTTTTCTAAGCAAAAAGCTTTAGGGAATAACATTGTGAAACAATTGAGTTATTTGTTTCTGTTAAACACAAATATATACGCCATACACAACCTGTCAAGTATTTCTTATAGTAGTTTTATATAGACAGTCTGCGTACAATTTCTCCTACCACGATTTTTAAATCAATATCACAAAATTGCCTAATGATTATATACTAAAGATATAGATAAGGTATCTACATATATATGTATATCAATTATGTTTGTTACCATGGTTACTATTAATTGGATTATATTTGATTACAAGTGCTAAAATTTAAATAATGTATGTTAATCAAAAAATTTAAAATTAAATTTTGAGATATAGTTTATTTCTGTTTGATTACAACCAATGCAATGACGTCAACGTATCTGAAACGCGCTAACGACGAACGCTATTTACAATTAAGCGTATATATCTACAACTTCTCGACTTTCTCCAGTCAGAGCCTTCGGGTCAGTCAGTGACTTATCGAGGATCCCTTTAGGAATTATCCCTTTAAGGAATTCTGAACAGCTACGAGTGACTTCGTTCACATTAGTTTTATAGCAAGCGGCCGGTTGGGGATGCTTTTGATTCCTGGGACGATGGGACGGGCCTTGATATGGAATGATCCTTGTGTGTGGTGTACACGTTAGCTTAGTCTCACCTCACTCGGACAAGCACAAAAGCTGGCAGAAAATAATAAACAGCTCCAATATGGAGAGATGGAAAGAGTCTTTCCTCCGAATTTGATTTCGTTCCCTTTTGAGTAGAAACTGTTGGGCCGTTTAGTTCCAATGCACAAGCCCTAATTAAAGATTTAAGTTGGCGCCTGGTAGATAGCAGCGGTGACCCCAAAGCTGGTTCTTTCCTCGCTCAGCGAATAGGTAACGCAATACAACGAGGAAAAACTGCCATTATTTAATGTGGTGCACTAAGGGCTTTTTAATTTAATTTAATTTTAATTATTATTATGACTATGTAGGTTAAGAGTATAGTAAATAGAGGACAAATATTTGTTTTTAGGTTAGGTTTAAAGATTTATTTCTCATACAGACAATGGTCACTTACATGAGACTTATAGACTAAAATACAATTTATACTGTTTAAGGTCAAGGATCAATCATCGAGTATTTTGGGTGGATGTCATTTGGTAGGTAATTAGGATACTCAGAAGTGGTCTTTTTTTAATTTACTTTATTATGATTAATTTACTAATTACTGAATATCTTGTGGAACATGGTGTAATGGTTGCAGCTCCTTACAAACATTGTGTAAAACAAAACACTTGGCGATTAAAAAAAGGCGGAGAGTTTATTGCCAGTTCTTCTATTCCGTTGCTTCGTTTGAGAACTGGCAGTAAATGTAAAATTAGAAGCATTTAATATATATTTCTTTTTTGAGGTCCATAGGTGTACATTGTGTTAACTATATGAATAAATGATTTTGACTTTTGACTACATACAAAATAATATATACTGTATACAAAATTATATATTCCGGGACTTAGAGGGAGGGGAAAATGAAGATATGCTAGGAATTAAATGAATTTAATTGTCATTAAAATATTAAAAATGTCGAAAATTCATACAAATAATTATTTATTTCGAATTATTCGAAGAAATAAATTTTTAATAAAAAATACGTGGCATTTTAATTTACAACTCGTCATTTGAGATTTCAATTAATTATTTTGCATAATTAACTCAAGCAACTAATTTTCAGAAATTCTCTTTTCGAAATTAAAAAAAAAAATTCTATAAGATAATTCACCCTTCTCACTCTCTCTCAATCGGTCTCAATCGCTCTCTCGCGTTTCTTCGACAAAAACGCTGCACATCTTCGTCACGTTCCGTAAAAATTTTACCCTCTAAAGAAGTTTTACTTCTTTTAATAATTGTAACAAAATAACTTACCTCATAAAACCATCCGAATTTATCATACGGAATATTAATTGGTAGTTCCGGAAAATGTTCTACAATTTTCAGTACTGGATCGTCGATTCCATTAAACAGCCAATCGGCGACAGGCGCCGACAGGAACATGTGCTCGTGTAACGTGCGGAGGAAAACGTCAACTGTCACTTTGATTAGCGGGTGGCTGTTACGCATGAAGTATGCTATCGTCTGTGGATATTTCGTGTTAAGATTACGTAAAAAGTAGCATAACAGAAAATGAAGATTAGATTAGAAGATTATTTCAAATGGGATTTTTAATTCATAACTTAATTAAAAGTAATCCTTGAAGGGAATTTGTGAAAATTTATAGTCGCAGAGAAAAAGTTTTAGGGGCCTTATTAATATTGTAGGAATATATAGTCATCATATACTGTTCTGGGTTATATCCTATAAACAACAGATTTCTTGGTAAAAAATAAATCCAATTATAAATAAAGTTAATATTTTACCCGTCTCTTTTCATCACAATGCAACAGAAAGAGACGAAATAACCATTTCGAGAGAACATATTCGGGTTTTTATATATCTAGATCTAGATATATTTTTTCAAGGAATAAAAGAGATTTAACAAGAAAATCACGTATCTAAATCTAATAAGCGTGATACTATCTGGAAGAAATTTAGGAAGTAGATATATAAGAGAAAGCAAAAAAGAAGGACGTCAAGTAAAAAGATGGGCAGATCTTCTGCTGAAGAGATGGATGCTAACCCAGGATGGAGAAGAATGGGTTAAAGGGGAGGCCTGTGTTTTTAATTTAAATGTAATAGGAGGCAAACGGGCAGGAGGCTCACCTGATGTTAAGTACCGCCGCCCATGGACACTAGCATTGTCAGAAGGTTTGCAATTGCGTTGCCGGCCTTCTAAGAATTGGTACGCTCTTTTCTTGAAGGACCCTAAGTCGAATTGGTTTGGAAATACTTCAGTGGACAGCTGGTTCCACAATTAGTAATTGTTTTCTTGTTGTTGTAACGTCAACTATTTTATTTATTAAATAATTCTATCAAATTCGTCCCTGTCTATTGTCTAATAAACGTACGAAAACTCACCACAACTATAGGATTGAGACTGGTGATGGAATCTGTGAGGGAGCCATTAGACATTTCCGGTTCAAAATGCCAATATCTCTGATTGTAGAATGTTATAGTACTGTTATCATTCCATGTCAAATTCACCTATAAAACAAACAAAAAAATATTAAAGTAACTCCTATTAACCTTCGTATCTCTGGTACCAGCATGTTACTAATGTTCAAATACCTAATGTTTCTACCACAACATACGAAAATAGCTGATGGGAAAAAACAAAAAACTCATCAAACCGGTTCATTCGTTTAGAAGTTACGATACCACACGGACAAGTCAATCTTTAAACACCCTTCTTTTGCGTCGTCAAATGTTTTGACGTGAAAACGTCTTAAAAATCGATTAACGTCAGATTCACGCACGAGAGACTCATTGCCCCGTTACGCCCATTACTCGATTGGCCTATGCGTCCAAAGATTCACTCCTTCCTTGTATCCAAACAAAAAAGAGATAATTCAATGAAAAACATTCAATTTTATTTAGAAAAGTACGAAATCATTTCACCAATGTTTTGTTATGACGTTGTCACGATAAACTATATTCCGTAATCCGATTTTACAGACAACCATTTTTTTTAACTTAATTAACTACTATGCAAGCATAGAACCAAGCGTTTATATCGTTAAACGCTGATTATTTTATGCCATAATAACCAGTTCAAACTGCCCATTTCATGAAATGGTTTATTCGTGAATTATTGACATAACATCAGTGTATATTTTTATTACTGATGCAATTTGAATGATTATATATAGTTAAACTCGCTTACGTTGCCTTTTTTAAAACAATCACAAATTTATCCTTGAATTTTGGACCCAGCTATCACATTTAACTAATTACCTACAGTCATATCTGTAATGTTGCAAGTATTATTTTACAGGAAACGCGATTAAAAAATTCTATTAATTAATCATTGATATATTATTGAATGACGAACGTTTTGCAGGTTTAATCAGAATTTAATTATCGTTTAAGAACTTTAATCTCTCTGTGTCACATTAAATTAAACAATTTCTAATCAAAATATCACACAATACACTAATAAATTTTAATACGAGTCTGAACATCTGAGTCTTTACATACATTATATTTGTTAGTGAATGTATCCATTTTATTAAGTGCGGTGCTCCACATTTAATGTGATAATTACGTCCCTTTTCATCACAAACAGTAAAAACGCACAAGTAAAGATTTTTTTTAAAGGATTACTAAACCTGGAATGCCCCTAAACAATGAAATAAAGTAATTGAAGTTAATTCGATGTATTATTCGTGATATTGAAATATATGTTATTTTTGTATTAGGTCACTTAAGTAAGTAAATATTTAGATTTACCTTTTTGTAGGTAAAACATAAAAATATATTCATTTTATTTTTTATTACCCTAAAATGGGTCAAATGTGTCCCTTTTTCGGTGCAGAACATTTTTAGTAGCAACACTTATGAAATGTCAGGATTCTACGAAATGAAAAATCAGAGTTTAGAATGTTTCGTTCCGTTTTTTTTCTTGTAAAGTGACATTAGAGTGAAAAGGGCAACATTTACGTGTGTTCTTCTAATGAACCTGGAATTATTTTTATTCATATCGCATAGTAAATATTTAAACGCTTGATGCGTTTTGTATAAGCGATATTGTAGGTCTTAGTCACTCATATACAAATAATGCTTCTAAATTCGAATTTACTGTTCTTTTTTGTAAGGAGCTTCAACCATTACGTCATGCACTTCTTAAAGCAATTCATAATATCCACAATAATGTCACATTAACCACTATAATTATAAAATCGTATGTATTATAAATTTAAGAGATTGTTTAGTTTAATCAAGAACTGTTTAGAAGTTAATTCTGTAAATAAAAACTAGTTAAAATACGGCATCAAAATAATAGTTAATGCTCTAATTATTTTATACGATATGTCGTAATAAACTAATAACACAAATTAAATTAAAAGAAATGTGCAATCAGCAAAAAATACAAATTTGCTGAATATTTAAGTAAAAATAATCATGGTAATTTGCCTTGACCTAACAGAAACCTAGTTTTGCTGACCTAAAGTTTATCATAGGTATTATTACTTATAAGAATTTAATGTTATCAAAATATACAAATATGTGTTTGTTTTTCATGGTACATATACTATGGTTTACATGGTTTATTGAAAATCTCACGCAAGTGAAGCTTTATGAAAATAAATCACGAAAAGTCATTTTTGATTTTACAAAGTTCTACAAAGACCCGGTCGTGATTATGTAAAACAAAAAACGACACGTTGGCGCGTTTCGTTCGGTAGTTATTGACCTGCTGAGAATATAGCGAGCGTCTAGTTACATATAGTACGGGAGGTAGCAACGTTTTCGAGAAAGAATTTCAGGTCAGCTGATTTTGTGATATGTCTTCCTTCTTGCACTTTCGGTTAGAGTCTGGGCAATCTGGCTGGCGGTAGCGGTTGCGTTCATTAGTGCGCATCCTATCTGTCCAGGTAATAATCCTGGATTTTAAAAGCATTTTAAGAAGCGTAATTTTAAATTTTTAGTTTTTAAATAAGTCTACCTGACATACTTTTTTATCAGACATTTTTCACATTGCTAACTATGTGCCAGACGCGATTTTAAGTTTTTTTTTTATAAAATTTCGAAGTAGGTATTTTAGAATGTCTGTTATTTTAATATTATGTTATTTAAATATAAGAAAAACTAATTAATTTGTCGACATTAATTCGTTGTTAAGCCTTGAATTAAAATGAAAAAGTTATGAAAAGTATTGCAGTATGATGAAGCATTGCATTTTAAGAAGCGTAATTTTTAATTTTTAATTTTTTAATAAATTTTTATAAAAAAAACTAAAATCTTTGGAATATAGAAGTGAAAAATTGGAAAAAGTATGTAGGTAGACTTATTTAAACAATAAAAATTATAGCAATGCTTCATCATAGACTGCAATACATTTCATGACTTTTTCATTTTAATTCAAGGCTTAACAATCGAATTAATGTCTGGCAAATTCATTTTTAGTTTTTCTTATATTTAAATAACATAATATTAAAATTACAGACATTCTAAAATACTTTGAAATTTTTATAAAAAAAACTTAAAATCGCGTCTGGCACATAGTTAGCAATGTGAAAAATGTCTGGCAATAAAAAAAGTGTATCAGGTAGACTTATTTAAAAACGAAAAATTTAAAATTACGCTTCTTAAAATGCTTTTAAAATCCAGGATATTACCTGGACAGATAGGATGCGCACTAAAGAACGCAACCGCTACCGCCAGCCAGATAGCCAAGACTCTAACCGAAAGTGCAAGAAGGAAGACATATCACAAAATCAGCTGACCTAAAATTCTTTCTTTTCAAACGTTGCTACCTCCCGTACTAATAAGCTTAAGACGAAAACTATTTATTCATTTAACAGCACGAATTATGTGGTAAGGAAAATCAGACTCGCTATTGAAGGTACGTGGTAAACTCAAATTCAAAATAACTTTATTCATATAGGTAAACAAGTACACTTATGAACCTCAGAAAAGAAGTTAAATTAATTCTAAATTTACATTTACTACCAGTTCGCAAGTCAAGGGCATATAGCGCGCAAGAAGAACTGGCAGGAAACTTTCCGCCACTCTTTTTAATCGCTAAGTTTTGAGTCATACAAATTGTTTGAACTGGAGCAAATCTTTCTAGAAAACTGTGTAATTTAATGTTATTATTTTTATTTTGTTTGCTTGTATGCCAATTTTCATAATAACAGAGTATGAATTAAAAAAGTTAAGACAAAAAACACTAACATGATTATATTATTTTGAAATGGCTGCCCTGTAAAGTTTACTATATGTCAGATCCATCACTATTCTACGCCTATGACGTGTTGTTCGTAAAAGCTTTGGGTTTTGAAGACGGTTTTGTTTTTTTTTTTTTTTTTTTATGTAATAGGAGGCAAACGGGCAGGAGGCTCACCTGATGTTAAGTGATACCGCCGCCCATGGACACTCACAATGCCAGAAGGCTCGCAAGTGCGTTGCCGGCCTTTCAGGAATTGGTACGCTCTTTTCTTGAAGGACCCTAAGTCGAATTGGTTCGGAAATACTTCTGTGGGCAGCTGGTTCCACATAGTGGTGGTGCGCGGCAAAAACTGCCTTAGAAAACGCTCTGTTGTGGAACGACGGACGTCGAGGTGATACGGATGGTATTTTGTATTTTGCCTTGACGTCCGATGATGAAACTCAGCTGCAGGTATGAGACCGAACAACTCCTCTGAACACTCTCCATGGTAAATGCGGTAGAAGATGCAGAGAGATCCCACATCTCTACGCAACGCCAAGGGATCAAGCCGCACGGAAAGTGACTGGTCGTCGACGATTCGAACCGCTCTTCGTTGAATACGGTCAAGTGGAAGGAGCTGGTACTGGGGAGCTCCCGCCCAGAGGTGAGAGCAGTACTCCATATGGGGCCGAATTTGCGCTTTATAAAGTTGCAAGCGGTGGCCCGGAGTGAAGTACCGTCTCGCCTTGCTGAGCACACCAAGCTTTTTGGAGGCTAATTTAGCCTTTCTTTCCAGATGACCGCGAAACTGAACGTTATTCGATATGTCAACGCCCAGTATTCCGATGCTAGCTGAGGCTTTAAGGAGAGTGTCTTCAAAGAGGGGGTAGCGACAAAGGGAGTTTTTTAGCGGAAAACGCGCATACTTGTGTCTTCTTGGGGTTAAATTGGACTAGATTTAGTCTACCCCAGTCCGAGACTCCACGTAGAAGAGTTTCGACTTCAGACACAAGTTTGTTCCGGTACTCATCGACAACAGCCCGAGAAATACCTGCCCGGCCAGTGTAAAAAGTATCCCCAGTGCTGTCGTCCGCATAGCAATGAATGTTGCTAAGCTGCAACATATCATTGATATGCAGAATAAACAGGGTCGGGGATAGGACACAGCCTTGTGGGACACCAGCATTCACAGGTTTCAGGTCGGAGCATGCTCCGTCGATGACGACTTTGATGCTCCGATCAGCGAGAAAGCTGGAAATCCAGTTGCATAATTTCTCAGGGAGCCCATAGGCTGGAAGCTTCGAGAGCAGTGCTCTGTGCCACACCCGATCGA